ACGGCAGAATTTGTTGCATTATTTACGGGCTGTGTTATATATAGACATTTGAACCCATGATGTTAATATGATATTTGATGGATCTTAAGATACGAGGGATGTTCAGGAAGTGAGGTTTCCTAGCCTGTAACGTTTGTGTTACTCAATAATTTTGTTTTTCGGTAGATGGTAGCTCTTGGTAGGAGTAGGACGGCCGCACACCAACTGCGTCAAGACAAGCATCAAGACATGAGACAAATGAAGCAGTCTTGCGTCATTCGTGATTCAGACTCGAGTCCGCACACCGAAGCAGTACGTGTCTGCGTCTTAACACATCTTCTCTAGTTGATGACATGACGTAATGCTCTTCACTCTTGTCGATGCCGTACACTGATGCAGAAAAGGAACATGGCGAGTGTTGCTGCACGTGTGTGCAGCGTGATGCTGACGTCAACGTCATGACTCAGACCGGTGTCCGGCGGTTTTCATAATCTCATTCGTTTTAACTGTGCTCCTTTCTTTGTATCATGTCGCAGACATCGTGTCTTGACGCATGCCGGTGTGCGGCCTACCGTGAAGGGGTGCATACACGTACGAGTCCGGCTCGGCGAGCTTGACTCGGGATCTACCGTCTGTGTAAAATGATTACTGAACTGGATAAGAGACCTTTACCTCGAATGGGCTGGAGAGTGATTGAAAAAAAAAGATATAGTCATTAATGCATATTTCCTGTTTCTCCCTCAGGAACATAGGGTATCCATGAAACGCTTCGATTCGCTTCAGTTTCTTGTAGACAGTCAGTAGGACTCCTTCGACGGGGGATCAGCCAGTCGCAAGACCGTTACCTACACACAGAACAACACAAACACAGAATAAACTCAGACATACATGCTGCGAGTGGGATTCGAACTCACGATCTTAAAGTTCGAGCGGGCGAAAACCGCGCGGTCACTGTTATTTGCTTTTAATATAGTGCTGTGTTAAAATTCAGATTTCAAGCATGCGCACGAAGCGCAAAGAACGCATGTGAGAACTCGTATGTTTTCCGGTCGGATTTCAATTTTTGTTTATTGTTTATTAGTGGGTGGTCTACTGCTTGGCGCTTTGCCAGACTTCTGATGAAAACGAAAATCCTCAATCCGGCCGGACAGCGGATTCAAGTCACAGATAACATGCAAACCAAAAATCCATGGACCAATCAAGTTACAACAATACACCAAAATTTACTGTCTTCCTCAATGTGGCGGCGTTAATTGTGGCATATAGACGCACACTTTTGGACGAACCATTTGCGTCGGTGTCCAGGCTAAAAGGTATCTCTTCTACCAAACTACACAGCGTCACATCACAGAATACCGAAATCAGCATGTGTACAGAAGCTGAAAGTACTTGAGGGAATGCTGACACAAATGTAAACATTTCGTGAGTTCTGTCTAAACCGGTCGATTTTTGTATGTGTTATTGTTGTCTGTGTTTATCTGTAGGCCAACTTGCATACTAGCGTCTAAAACAGCTTCCTTGTTCCCCCCCCCCCTTGTGCTATTTATGTTTTCTCATATAGACCGGACGCTGATGTTCCCCATTCAGCTGCAGTTTCATTAAACTTACAATTCGGTTTTTTTTCCTTGGCACTACAGCCCCAGTGGGCCTAGGCCTACCTCCATGAACTTCTCCGTTCACTTCGGTTTTCCTAGATCTTACACATTCGGTAGGACTCCTTGGGCCGATGATCAGCTCGTCGCAAGGCCTCTACCTGTACACAAACACACACCAACTAAACATCCATGCCCTGAGCGGGATTCGAACCCACGATCCCGGTTTCCAAACGAGCGAAGACAGTGCACGCCTTAGACCGCTCGGCTACCGTGACCGGCTTACAATTCTGTTGCGTTATATTATTCCCCTCTTCCGTCTTGTTCTATTTATTTTTTTTATTTTTTTTATTTATTTCTAGTTTGGTGGGACTAAGTCCCTTGTACTGTGGCCTATTGTACCAGCCCCAGATGATAGGTGAGGGTGATTGTGGAGCAATTGGTGGAATGAAGATTGGCAGTGGAAACCGAAGTACTCGGAGAAAACCTGCCCCAGTGCCACTTTGTCCACCACAAATCCCACTTGACCAGACCAGGGATCGAACCCAGCCCGCCGCTGTGAGAAGCCATCGACTAACCGCTTGAGCTATGGCGCTGCCGATGAAGCTGTTGAAATAAAAGAATCGGACTTTTGTATTAGATGAAGTTGTGTTGTATTTTATCATGTAACAGCTTTACTTTTATGAAAACTGCCTAAATGCCATTATTGTGGTAGTCCGCATTCCTTGCCATACAAAGGAAGGTAAGGCATGTGGTATCATGCAGGGGTGTCCACAGAACTTAATTTTGCCTGTAGGTTTGTGTGGATGTAAGATTTGGTCCGGGCCCTTCTCTTCTTGCCTTCGTTATGACTCCGTGACTCATTTAAAGTACTCAGTACTCTGCTTTACGTCATCGGTTACCAGTTGCCGTTGTTTCTTACGGCTTCTCACGGTGCTAAATTGTGCCATCAGTTCCTCTTCTGATGATAATTCAGGTCCTGTTTTCCCGCAAGCCTCTTCTGTGGCATGGTCCATGCCTTTCATCAGTACTTCTCCCCAGCTTCGTCATCTGTTTCTCGCTCTTACATTGCATCTACTTCCATTTCTTGGCCACTCGTTCGTATTTTGGAAGAGTCCACGGTCAGAGGCACGTGTATTTTTGCCCGAAACCCACACTTTAATTACTTGTCACTTTTATGCAGTGCTTGAGATGGAATGAATGTAGAACCGGGATGCCATCCCGCCCCACCTCAAGCCCTGCTTTTATGTAGAAAATCAAATAAATTCAGCAGAGAACTAAAATTAATTATTGTATTCTAACACCAACCTATGTCTTCTCCATCTGTTGTCCATTTACTTTTTTATTTAGGGAAAAAATTATTGTAAATACAAAAAAGGCCTAGGAAATGCCCATCCGGCCCTCTGTAGCACATTTTTATAAATAACTTATTCTATCATAACGGTCACCCCGCGTTTCTTAATATCTTAACTTAAATCTGAGAGTATACTGTTAAACGCCATCTTCTAATAACACCACGCCCCTCATCACGTAATTAATTATCAGAAGCTGTCCTACGCAGTTACTTAATTTTGCTGCACTACAAAAGTGACCATGCACGCCCAGGGTTTTTATTTTCGTCCTCAGTCACTTTTATGACTCATGTCGGTTTTGTTCTTTTTCCTTATTTATTTCCTTTCATCCTTTCTATTTTTACTTTTTCAACGCATTCCGTTCTTTCTTCGTTCCTCGTTTTATTTATTTGTTCACATTTTCCCTTTCTGCTTCACTTTATTCCGTTCTTCTCTGCTCCCTTTATTCCTTCGTTTTTCTTGCGTCCTTATTTACTTTTTCGACAGAAACAAATCAAAACCTGATTCAGGAGGAAATTAAGAGGAGATTGAACTCCGGTAATGCTTGCTACCAGCCGGTCACGGTAGCCGAGCGGTCTAAGGCATGTACTGTCTTCGCTCGCTTGGAAGCCGGGATCGTGGGTTCGAATCCCACTCAGGGCATGGATGTTTGTGTGCGTTTTTCTGTGTTTGTCTACAGGTAGAGGCCTTGCGACGAGCTGATCACTCGCCCAAGGAGTCCTACCGAATGTGTAAGATCTAGTAAACCGAAGTGAAACAGAGAGTTTCATGGAGGTAGGCCTAGGCCCAAATTGGGGCTGTAGCGCCACAGAAAAAAAAAATGCTTGCTACCATTCAGCCCAGAACCTTTTGCCTTCTCGTATGCTGTTTAAAAACATAAAAACTATTTTGCCTGTGGTTCTGTATGGGTGTGAAACTTTGTCTTTGACATTAATGGAAGAGCATAGACTGAGGGTGTTTGAGAACAGGGTGCTGAGGAGAATATTTGGACCGAAGAGAGATGACGTGACAGGAGGTTGTAGAAAACTGCATAATGAGGAGCTTCATAATCTGTACTCTTCTCCAAGTGTAATTAGAATGATTAGGTCAAGGAGGATGAGGTGAGCAGGGCATGTAGCACGAATTGGGGAGAGTAAGAATGCATATAGGCTACTAGTGGGAAAGCCAGAAGGAAAGAGACCACCAGCAAGACGTGGGTGGGTGAACAGTATTAAAAGGGATCTTAGGTAGGATGGGATGGTATGGATTGGATTGATCTGGCTCAGGATATGGACCAGTGGAGGGCTCTAGTGAACACGGTAGTGAACCTTCAGGTTCCATAAGATGCTGGGAAGTTCTTGAGTAGCTGCACAATTGGTGGCTTCTCAATAAAGGCTCAGTTCCATGAATGAATGTTCAGAAGATACAAGTATGTGATGTCTACCATCACCGCTAGAGAAGTTAAGTTACTTTCGTTTTGAAAAACTACGTAATAATGGCAGCCGTTCGGTCTACCAGCCTTCTGTTGCGTGGTTTACGACGCAAGGACGGTTGATGGTCATCATTCAGTCATTAACAACGTAACACTGTCTCCTAGCATACCTGCAACCAGGCAGGAAAGGACTCAACACTGTACACTTAATTATATAACACTGTACTGCATATATTTACAGTTACTGTAAATGACTGAAGACACAAGAATACAGATATTCATTTTCTAGCGGAATGCTATGTAGTGTCATGAATATCTTATTCTGTCATAGCCGTCACCCCTTGATTGTTAATATAGATCTTAACTTAAATCTGAGAGTATGCTGTTAATATTCAGTGCAATTACTTTTTCTACTTTACCTACTAATTCTTTTCTTATAAAATGTGCGTTTACATTAGTCATACATACCCACTGCCATCTAGTGGGAAGAGTGTTAACCCAGCGTTGAAAACATAATTGAGGAACTAGTAAAGATGACGTAACGGCACACGTCACCCGAGATGGCGCACTCTGGCTCGCGCCTCTCGCTGTATGTGGTTGTAGCGGCCTGAGGGGAAGGGAGCATTGCGCCAATCTGCTGCATAGCGACAGAGAGAGAGAGTGAGTTGAGCGTATAGTGGTGCTATTCGTCAGTTGTTTCGCGTCCTGCTGGAATAATCGTATGTGTGAAATGTGTGGTTCGCTGCTGCCGGCAGGTTATCTAGTAGTGATTGTTGTGACGTAAAATATACGGTGTGCCAGCCATATGCGGATTACCGTTCCAGTGTGATCAGATTTTTGAACCGTAACAGAAGATCGATAATAGTAGTGTGGGACTGTTTGTGTAGTTGTGTTTGCTGGCATGGATGTTGTTCCGAACATGCTGTGAAACTATGTTTACCTTTGTAGGATTTGAGGTTCTTACAGCGGTGGTTATGCAGAGTACTATCTTCTGGGATATAACCCCGTATGGTCCGTTGAAAGTCAACAGACGTTTCGGACGAACATGCCGCTTCCGTCTTCAGGGAGCCAAGGCAAGCAAGAAACCAACACAAAGCAGGCGGAAAGCAGAGCTTGCTTGGCTTGTTCTTCGACCCTGAAGACGGAGGCGGCATGTTCGTCCGAAACGTCTGTTGACTTTCAGCGGACTATACTGTACTATGTCCCAGAAGACAAAGCTCCTCATGTTTACCTTTGGTTTTCTGGATGGATCTTTGAAACGCGTCTTTTTATGGAATTGCTAAGGTTGCGTGTAGCGTGGTGATGATTCCTAAGGTATTACTTTTATTTAACTGCAGTTTAGAGTTTGTAAATGCCATTAATTTGGCGATATTGTTGAGCGTAGATATCAAACTGTCAAGAAGAGCTATGTGTGTGACAGCGAGGCAAGGAAGTCACGGCCGTCACGGCTTTGACTAGGTCAAGGATGTCGATCCTTGAAATTATTTTGTCAGATCCAAATTATTTAAGTTCGCCTGTCTGTGCTTGTTATATGGAGGCGTTTCGTTTGTATCAAGAATGGATGTAGTTTCTTAACTTGGCCACTACCGGTTATAGCCCGATTAGTTTTCGTAGAGCATCCGTTGGTGATAACATGCGAATTAGTCATCACGCGTATTTGCTCTTAACTTCTAGTGATGATAAAAATATCATATGAACTTGACATGGCCTTTTTTTTTAGTTTGAGTGAGTAGGTTGGTATAACGATGACGCTGTGTTCATTTGGGAGGCACCCACTTCAAATCTCGGTTGTGTTGTCGCCCGCTAACACAAGATTTAAAGGATGACGTCCTTAACGAAAAGTGAAAGAAAATAAATTAGGCATAAATAAATGTACGCAAAGCGTAAACAATTATGGGGTGCTTAATTTCTTGAAAGCCATGAGATTTCCGGAATACATGTATCGGATATAGAATGCGTGTTTTTGTGTCCTGTACAGGTTTGGTTCCAAACATTTTTTGTGCTGTAAATATTTGGGAATGTACTTATTATCCACATTTAATGGATAGATTGTATAATTATTGGAGTTAAATAAAAAAAATATTTGGGGGAGTTACGGTTTACATGCCCCGCAGGAACGTATGTAGATATTCGTGTAAAGTCGTCGGTTTCGTTATCCAATTTTAACAGGTGGAATATGTACACATACATATTACTGAAATCCCGCAGTATAACATATCTTGAAGAGCCCTGCATCCTTTCTTAAGTTGTCATATGCAAGCGGATATACAGACATGGCGAAGACAATGATGCAATTTCTCGTTATAAACTGCCCCCCCCCCCAAAAAAAAGATACGGGGAGAGTGAAGAATTTTTTAACGCGGAAACAAAATTGTTGAAAACGTAAAATTCGGTAACTGTTAAGGGTACTGTAACCCTTGATTTACTGGAAGCCAAAGAGTGTTTACAGATCAGTTCCTACCTCACATATACCACAATGTCTCCATTACAAAGACCAGTCGGTAAATGCTGCTAGGGGAAATAGACTATTTGAGACTCTTGAGAATACGCATAAATACGGCCTTTGGGAACTATGCAGCGTTTTTTAATGTCAAAGCGGGTGATGAGGCTCCCACATAGTAACCACCATGCTAGAAACCTCCCTTTCTCAGGGTTTTGAATATTTTTGCGTTTGATCTATACATGCCCACTCTCTACACTGCTTCCCTCTAGTACTGAAATGAAGTGAAGTAACGCGATCAGCATGCCATTTTTCCCCTTTGACCTTTGGAAGCAGCTGACCAATTTTCATGAAATGTGCTGTGAACATTCTGTTGTTTGAGGTCGCTCAAATGCAGTACTTTTTAACTTCCTGCAATCAGTAATAATAACAGCATGACGGATGCGCGAACTTCAGAGGTGGAAGATAGAAATGGTGTAAGGTAATAAATATATCTTGATACATGGAAACTTTCTCTACATGAATGTAAAGGAAATACGGGACGCTGCCTGATATATGTATTTAGCTTTCGGTTTGAGGCCGATAACATTTTGAACTAAATATTTTCATGTAAGATTTGTGGCTTTCACGACCGTGACTATGAAGAAAGCAGTCTTCTGGGATTTGGCACCGTGTATATGTGGTGTTAACCGACGTTTCGAAGGAACGTATCGCCTCCATCTTCAGGGTAGAAGGAAAAAATAAGAAATTCGCAAGCGAAGAGACCGTGGGAACCGGTAAAAGCAGATGGAGGCGATACGTTCCTCCGAAACGTCGTTTAACACCACATATACACGGTGCCAAATCCCAGAAAACTGCTTTCTTTAAGTATTTTCAGTTTGATATTGAAATTTATCATAAACATACCTGCTGATTCTGAATGAAATTCTGTTTATCGTAGCCGCAATTGTAAGTTACAAGTTCTTCACAGAAGTAAAACAAAATATCAGTAATAATGCTAACGGTACTCTAGAAGCAAAAACATATGCAACAGGAATGGAGGCCGTATGAGTTCGTTGAATATGCATCACCTAAGGTAAACATATCCATGTAACAGGCCGTGGAGGCCCATAGGGTTGTGAGACGTCGAGGCTCTCACATTTTCTAGACAATCGGCTCACAAAAGGCTGTAAGGTCGTCATCCTTACGCGCCGGCCGCCCTTTACCCCCCATGACGAGTCCTGAAAGTCATTTGTGTTCGGCTGGAAGGATTGAGTGAACTGAAAAAATCCACTTCATATGGACCCGAACCTGCGATCTTCCGGCTTGTAGCATAGTGCCTCAACCAACTACGCTACCGCGAGCCCCTTGAATATGCATCATGTGGCCTGTATAACATGTCATAGGTCTCACTTTTTAATATGATACAGTCGATTTAAATAGCGGTAAGTTATGCAACACTGTGGCTCTTCACTCGGTGGTATGCCCGTATTACTCGACAAATTCAAAGGAAAAGGTGCCGATATTAAATTGTATAAAGGTACCATTATATCGAATAGCGATACTATCAGCGGTATATGACAGCATCAAAAATTAGCGCAAAGCATCTGATGATGCCCATATCGAAATACAGATGTTGCTAACTGAGTCATAGGGGAAGTAGGCCATGTCATAGGGCGCTACATGAGCCGGGCATGAACCTTGTCTTCATTGCTTCTAAAGGCGCGTCCACATTACTCGTGCTCGTGAGTAATGTGGACGATATGACAAATCACGAGACAAGATAATTTTTAATTTAAAAACTATAGCCACTAAATTAAAATATGACTGCAGCCTATATACACTACGAGTAAATATACGGATCCTCACGTGCCGAAGCCTGGCGAGCAACTGAAGTAGTGTGGACGAAGATTTATGAGCACAAGCAAAAGCCAGACGAGTCTCCCGACGAGCACGAATAATGTGGACGTGCCTTAACAAATAGTCGAGTGTCCAACAGGCCCACAACCCACCACATTTTTCTAGTGTCCTGAGGCCCAGCATTACATAGAGCCCCCAAACTCTTAAACGGCCTCTGTTTTCAGGCATTTATACCATGTGTAACTCGCCCATATACTAGGCTAGTCCCTCTAGCAGGAAGCTTCAGCATACACATAACCATGTTCGAGGGAATGGGACTAGCTGGAACGGAAAAATGATGACACTTTTTGACACATTTCTTTCAGAAGATGGAACAGTAATATGTGGCTACTATCCTTAAATGTACTTGTCTTTGAATGGGTATCTAAGGTAATTTTACGTGTGGGCTAGTGTAGTTTACGTAAGACCCTTTTTTATGTAATAATTTATCGAAGTGTGACAGCTGTGCACTGATATGCTGTTGCTAGAGACAGTTTTAAATTATCCATTAATTCGAAAATCGTTTTGAAATCTTTGATTTCAAGTGCCATATAAGACCAGCTGTGGCAAAAATATGAATAGTGTAAACCTCAATTTTGTGAAATACCCCCGTCACAGACCATGGAGGCCCATAAGGGTTGTGAGACTTCAGGTTCCCGCATGTTCTATACAGTTGGATCACAGGTGCCTCTAAGACCCTCTAAATTAGGCATTACATGTTCCATAGTTTTAAGAATTCTTCACAGATGGCTGAAGAAAGGAATGGGGCCCGACTGTGAATTATTGAAAACTACCTGGGTGGTACACCCACTAGCCTGACAGGTTTTCTTCAGCCCCTCCAGGAAAATGCTGGGAGAGTATCTTAAATTGTGCTATGGCTGTTTCTTCCACACTCATTTCATTTCGTTATTCACTGTCATCAAGCGTTAAGGAGTCTGAATTATTGACGGGGTTATTAAATGGGCTACAGATAAATTTAATGGTAGGAAGAAGTTGTGTTGGAAACTTCTCTGTAAAACAGAATCTGTTATGCTTTAAGGTGGCATAGTTTAAATTCAATTTCACTAACTTACACATACAATGAAATAGGAAAAAATTGAATCTGAACAAAGCTGGGTGTGCATTTTATGAACTACTTCATGTTTAAAATGTATAGCATTTGCCCATATAAAATCAAAGAGGATTTGAGAGAGGGGGGCATGTGGAATGAACAGGAGAGAAGAGAAATACAAATTTGAAGGGTAGAGAGAATGGTATATTCCAATTGCATGGACTTGTCTGAATCTCATTTCTTTCAAGAATTTAGCTCTGTGAGCCATTTCAAGACAAAATTCGTTGACATATTTTAAAAATTATCTTTATTGCCAAGAAAACTTGTTGCCAAATGTTTAGTCACTAGAGGCAAGGTTTGAATTAGTAATTAAATTTATTGGATTCTTAAAAATTCATAACCACAATTATTTATAACGCTGTCCCTAATTTGCACATGTTGCAGTTCACTGTAGTGCGCAGTGAGTCTTCTCAAGGGTGCTGGGTCTTCACCAGGTGTTGTCGGACAACGGATCTCAACACTGTAGATTCCTCAGCTCCTATGTTCATAGCACCTGCCCTCACCAGCTCATTAATTTGTTGCCTCGTAAACATGTTTACCAGCCGTCTGTTCTGGCTCCACAATTCTGGCTTTGCGCCCTCACGTCACATTTTCTATTTCCCCAGAAGTAGTTAAAGTCATGTAGAAAACAAATTGCCCATTTAGAGTAAATGCTGTGTAGGTGTTAAACTTTCGCTTCTAAAAAACGTACTTTATTATGTATATTATCGAGGTAATACAAGTTGGATAGGCATACAAGTATTACTTCTTTTTGAGAACTGAATGAAATGCATAAATGTTGCAGTACTGAATTACATGGTGATTTAAGGTGGCACTTACCTTAAACAGGTGTAATATGTGACAGTTTCCTTGTATTCAGGATCTTCGTTAGGGCATGAGCTTACTGAAACAGTCATTGTTTTAGAATTTGATTTGTTTCATTCTGGTCGGTCACACTAACAATTACAAAGACAAAATTAACGCCGTCCAGTGTGACTATTTAAGTTTTATCACTTGAAAACTCATCACCCTTACATGTTTCGATCCCTACGGATCATCCTCAGAGAGCATCAGTACAGTGTAAACAACACAGCAAGCCACAAATAAACACGGACAATACTAAGAATCTCCTTTCTGAGGATAGACAGGCGGCACACAATCAGCCACCTCCAAGAAAGACAATAGGAGAATTGACACGAACCTGCATGGTTTATAAATTTTAAACTACAAAGTTTTTAAAAAAAACTTTACAAATTTTAATACCAGGAAGGCTGCTGTGACTGTGAAATTTGAACATTGTGTACATTGTGTATTTCAGACATTATATGTGTATGTATATAATTTAACACCTATTGTAATAGTAGTTTCCGGAAAAAGTATTGATGCCCTCTGAGGATGCTCTGTAGGGATCGAAACTTGTAAGGGCGATGAGTTTTCAAGTGATAAAACTTAAATAGTCACACTGGACGGTGTTATTTTTGTCTTTGTCTTTGTTTTAGAATTCCTTTAAATAAGTCACATTATGTTCTCCAAATTCAGTGTTTGTGATGCGTAATCTGTTCATTTGATATGGATTTGTAGAACACTATGAGAAAGTTTTATACAATGGCTAATTTTTAGAAGATTCATACAATTATGGATATAAATAATACTGTATTTATATATTTCTTCATTTTTAATAAGGGAACCTAATGAATTCATATCCTTTGTGCAATGAACAGTACCGATACTGCCTTAGTATAACACCAGCGAATATTCATCCATGCAATCGGTCAGTGTTATTATTTATCACAGAATAACCGAATCAGATGAAGTAACAATTCCAGTGATAATTTTTTTGGAAGAAATCGTCAGTGAGACTGTCAGACCTACATGGATGAGTGACAGTATACCGTATGCGGTTGCATGAAGATACCTATTGGTCCATTGTGCTGCATATTGGCAGCATGTTTGGTGATCCTCACATGCTGTATCTGAAACATCAGGTTAGTGGAGGCCAACACAGGTTGGCATAGATAACAGAGGTTTTTATGAGTACCCACTAAAGCAGAAAAGTTGGTTGCTCCCATGAAATTGGCCCACCCATAATGCACATGTTTGATTAATGGGGGCATCATCTAGAGGGTTCTCTGTAGCTTGTCACACGATAATTCAGGGGACCTGCATTATCATAACATTAAATGTTACATTTACTATGTAATATACAGTGATTACTCTGTGTACCACGTGTTTTTATGTTTAAAATTTCTGCATTTTCCTATGATTCTCTCTATCAGCAGCTTAACCAGTTGCAGTCATTGTCTCGCCTGAGTGGAATTATCATATCATTTCAGTAGTTGCCTTTGCTCTTCAACATTTAAATTTGTATATTTAAATTTAAAGAGGGATAACTCAACAGTTAAGAGGACTTAGACTTTGCAGAGGATATCTGTCCCCTATCTCATACATTCCATAATGTGGGGGGAAAATTGAGAGAGCTAGAAAAGAAAGGGAAAGCTGTGGGACTGAAGATAAATGCTGCCAAGACAAAAACTATGAGAATAAATGCAAGGAGGAAACAAAGGTTTAAAGTAAACAACAAGGATGTGGATAACTTCGAACAATTTACCTAGCTAGGTAGTGTTGTAACAACAACAGGAGGTACTAAAGATGAAGTTAAAATGAGAGTTAGGAAAGCAAATGCAGCTTCCATCCGGCTATATCCAGTGTGAAAAGCAAAAGAAATATCAACAAAATTGAAAATGAAGATATTTTCAAATTACATAAAATTTGTGCTACTGTATGGGTGTGAAACCTGGTAAGTAACAAAGAAAATTACAAACACCCTGCAGGTATTTATGAATAAATGTTTAAGAAGAATCCTTCGCAGCCAACGGCTGTTACAAATGGAAACCTATGGAAACTAGCAAAAGAAGAACCAGTAGCCACAGCAATAAAAAGAAGGAAATGGAGATGGATAGGACACACTCTACATAAAGATCAGAGTGCAGTAGAGAGGCAAGCCCTGGACTGGAATCCCCAGGGGCAGCAGAGGAGAGGTAGACCAACAAAAACGTGGAGGAGAACTGTTGAAGAAGAGGTCTGAAAAGCAGGAAAGATTCGGAGAGGGTTCAAGAGCCTGGCTGGGAATAGGGTCCGTTTCTGAATAATAATGAATTGTGTCATTATTCATTAGTAAACTTAACGAGAAATGACTCTTGTCATTAAAGTACAAACAATACATATGCACATAAAAGTACTGAATGTTTTGTACATACAAATATAACTAAAATATTTATCATGAGTTGGTAAAATTCTTGAAATATATTATTTCCTAGTTTTAAGGGTTATCTTGTTTTCTGACTGGGGGTTATTATGGGTGGGATTTGGTGGGTGAGCTGTGACTGGTGTGGAACCCTTGTTTTTTTTATGGTGACATGGATTTTTTATATGGGTGTACCTTTATATTGTCTGTGGTTATCTGTATGCTCTCATTTACTAAGCTATGATATATAGGCATAAGTGATTATTATGTTGTTGGCGATGGACATTTTGTATTTTGTGGGCAGTTCATTTTATGTACAGTGACAGGGTTCGTGGTCATATCCTTGATATTGCTGTTCAGTATTTAATATGGAAGTGTTGGGTTTTACTGTTTTCTTCTTTTCTTTCAATTTTGTTTGCTCCTGTAATCATGTGTTGCTAGTGTTGCTGTACAGGATAAATTTTCTGTAATGGCAGCTGTCTCGTAACAAGATAATTCTAATACTAGAGTACACGTCGTGGATACATGTAAGATATTATCTAACAATTCATCTTATTGAGTCAATATTTCATAAAGCAGATGAAACAGAGATCTGTTTCTGTGTGTGTATTGGTCCCGTGTGGGTCATATGTTCATATGTTGAAGACAGCAGTTTCATTCAAAACATTGGAACATATCTACCCCACTACATAGCATCACATTAATATTCACTACCATGAGAACCTGAGATGTTATAATTTGTTTCTTTTATTATAGATTTTTTCAAAATACGTGGTGCAATCCAAAAGTTCCTGAAATATATTAATAAAAACTATTACATCTTACCTGGATCTTATTCTGCAACATCACCTTCAGAGTAGTTCCCTTGGGAGCGCATACACCAGTCCCAGCGTTTCTGCCACTTTTCAGATGCATCGTGGAAGTCTTTCTTTGTTAGGGTGTTTAGTACCGTTTGTGTTTCTGCTTTAATTTCCTCAACTGTATCAAATCTTCGACCCTTCAACTTGATTTTCATCTTGGGGAAGAGAAAGAAGTCGCATGAAGCTAAGTCTGGCGAGTACGATGGGTGGGGAACAACTGCCATCTTGTTCGTAACGAAAAATTCCTGCACAGTGTAAGCCATATGTGGTCGTGCGTTGTCATAGTGGAGTACCCAGTCGTTCGTGTGGCACTTCTCTGGACGTTTCTCCTCATGTCCTCCCTCAAATGCCTTAGAACATTGTGATAGAACTCTATTGACTGCCTGACCAGGAGAGACGAACTCCTTATGAACAATCCCGTCAGTATCAAAAAACAGATCAACATGGACTTAATGTTGCTCTTGACTTGTCGAGCTTTTTTTGGCCGAGGTGAAGAAGGGCTCTTCCATTGCGACGATTGCTGCTTGCTTTCAGGGTCGTAGCCATAAACCCAACTTTCGTCACCAGTGACAAGCTTCGAAAGAAAGTTTGGATCCTCTTGAAGCTGTTGCTGAAGTTCCCTGCAGACTTCCAAGCGATGCTGCTTCTGTTCATTTTGCAGCAGTCGTGGCACAAACTTCGCCGCAATCCTCCTCATGTTCAGTTCCTCTGACAAAATTCGTTGACGTGTACCATAGCTTAGTCCCAATGTGTTACAGAGGTCTTGGATGGTCAGTCTACGATCTTGCAGCATCAGATCCCTAACTTTCATGACATTTTCTGGTGTTTTGCCCGTTGACTGCCGTCCCAAACGATTGTCATCATCAGTCAATGTTCTGCCATTTTTAAAACGCTCATACCAGTTGTAAGTTTGTGTCTGGCCTAAACTGTTTTCACCAAAAGCTTGCTTCAACATTTGGTGCGTTTCTGCAGCGGATTTCCCAAGTTTGAAACAAAACTTTATACAGACACGCTGCTCTCTCAGGTCACCAATCGCAAAACCGCAAACTCACGAAAACACAACAATGGAAATACGTTCACCAACAATAAACCCAACCACTCAACTCGACACTGCTTGCCACACTGATTCAAGAAGGATGTGTGAGGAGACACCTAGCGGTATTTCGATGTACTCTTAACCATTCGCGCGCAAAATTCAAATTTCGGAAACTTTCGGATTGCCCCACGTAACATATTCTTAATGGCTTAAAATTTATATCCAGCATGTAGTTATGCTGGTGGCTTTCACTGTTGGAATCCAGTATTGTTTTTCTAAATATTTTAAAGGGTTTGTTTGTCAGATCTCTCAAGTGCTGCCCAACTTGTCACATCTGGGTATGCGGTATGCATATAGAATGCAGCTGTTTCCGGACTCGCAATGCTCATATCTTTTAGAAGCAGTTGTGTTAATATGTTTTTTGTATTCCAAAATCCAGTGCATTGTTATGAATGGTAAAACATGTATGTTACGGCGTGGTGGCAGGGGCCGTGGAGGTATCCCCACCGCTTCCACCACTGTTATGCCCTTACGCCCTTACGACAGGGGTGGATTGGTTATCTCACCGCTGTCTCCACTATTATGCCGTGGTGACGGGGGGCGTGGAGGTATCCCGCTCTGTCACCTGGTTTAGTAAGCTGCCACCATCTTGTATGTCAAGAACTCTAATGAACTTATCATTAAGAAAGCAGTCTTCTGGGATTTGGCACCGTGTATATGTGGTGTTAACCGACGTTTCGGAGGATCGTATCGCCTCCATCTTCAGGGTAGAAGAAAAAGTGTAAGAATTCTGCAAGCGACAAGACCGTGAGAACGGCTTTTACCGTTCTCACAGTCTTGTCGCTTGCAGAATTCTTACACTTTTTCTTCTACCCTGAAGATGGAGGCGATACGATCCTCCGAAACGTCGGTTAACACCACATATACACGGTGCCAAATCCCAGAAGACTGCTTTCTTAATGATAAGTTCATTAGAGTTCTTGACATACAAGATNCTGAATTAAACTCACACACATTCCTATCCTATTCTATTTCCCTGTGTCGCTTTATACATACTATATACACACTTTGCCGACGTTTGTCGGTTCGTATTACATTTGATGATGACCCTGTAGCCATCATTGGTCCTATCTCCTGTCCCCCTGCTGTCGGGTATTCTACGCCTCTGTATCTCTTAATGAACCTAGTCCATCTGGTTAGCACTATCTTTCTCTGGGGTTTACACTTTAAAATTATCACTATCACACTCAGTGTTCATGGCTATATGAAGTTGGTTCACTTACTTGAGCTGAGGAAACAGATGCTCGCCATCACCAACCAATGCCCTCTCATTGCCATCGCTCTCTCGGCGATAGCCTCCAGCTGAACTCTATGTCACTTAATAATACTAAAAAGTCAAAAGGTTTTTTGATTGATTCCTCTAGGGTTCATGTACCCTCTTTTTGCTGATTCTTTGTGTCCCGGGGTCCTATTGGCCCGCCCATTCTGACGTGATTTTGGGTCAGTGTGGCCCACTCATTGGCTGTCTATCGAGAAGGGGTTGACTCTTTCGGGTCTACCGCCTTCTCCGACTCAGCGTTTTCCTCCTGCCATAGTGTTTATGACCTACTTCATATAGCTTCTCCCTCAATGTTAGCGTTATTACGCTGTCGCGCTAACATTCTGATTACTCAGGTATTGCCTGTTACACTTCTTTGTAAACCCAAGCTTCCTGGTATGTTTCAGCATTTCTGTTTCTTAATCTTACAGTCTAACTATTATTCCAAATTTACCCAAAAAAACTATTTCTACTTGTACATAACCTTTGCGCCATTACAATGTATTATTATTATTAGTAGTAGTATATTTTTATTGCTAGTCCCTTGTACTGCGGCCAATTCTGGCCTATTGTACCAGCCCCAGATGATAGGTGAGGGTAACTGTGGAGCAATTGGTGGAATGAACATTGGCAGGGGAAACCGAAGTATTCAGAGAAAACCTGCCCCAGCACCACTTTGTCCACCACAAATTCCACTTGACCAGACCCGGGATCGAACCCGGGTTGCGATGGGAAGCCAGCGACTAACCACTTGAGCTATGGTACGGCCTTATTATTATTAATAAGTTTTTAGACATGTATCAGACATAATGCTAAAATTTTTGTGGTTTGAACTACAAATCTTCCCTTGAAATTTTCAGCTAAAAACAACATAAACTGAAAGGCATGACAGGAAAATAGAGCAAATTGCAGAATATCTTTGTCTTGTGTATTAGGTCCACAATAGGTAACAGGAAAGTGATATTTTTATTTATTTAAATGAAAAGTTCTATGGATATGTCTGAAATTAAAGTAAACTTGTAGGCTTACATACTGGTAATTTAATTTCAGATGCGAGAGAAGGAGTTGGAACAGAACCAGGAGGACACAAGACCTCTGTCTGATGGATCAGCATATGAGGAACAGCTGTCTTCAGCTGTGCGCAAGAGAGACAAAGCTTCTCCACGGCCACAGGTGACGAGCCTCATTTTGGTATTCACAGTATTTTACAGGATAATTTAATGCAAGATTCCATGGGTGCACCTGATCTCATGGACCCTGTCCACATCTAAATGTAATTTTGGCACTAGTTGTGACTACCAGCTTCTATATTAAGAATCATTCCTGTCAAGCCAGGTGGCTGTTGTGCTTTGCTGGTGAATCTGTCCACAGTTGCTGGTTCAAGGGGAATAAGTCATTGGTTATAATGGCAAGTGTAAGGTGTCAAATATTGTACAATCACATGACTCATGTGTTAACTTTTAATTTTTTAATGCATTAATTCATTATTTCACAATTAATACTTCTCATTACATATTATTAAGTTAATGAAATGAAGGTTAAGTTATTTTGTATAGATTTTTAAGGTAAAATTGGTTGTACAGGAGCCAGGATTACTCAGTCAGTATAGTGACGAGATATGGGTTGTATTGCCAGGGTTTGATTCCCAGCAGGGGAAAGATATTTTTCTTTACTACTCTACTACAGCATGCAGACTGGCTCTGGGGCCCACCCAGCCTTGTATCCAGTGGATACGGGGGGATAATGCCCTGGGGATAAAGCGTCCAGCGCAAGAAGCTGAGTACCAAGGTCATGAATGCTGGAGCTACCTCTTCATGGATTGGTGCTTAATTAATTGAGCACAGAGAGAATGTTATCTTTTAAATTGTTTTTGTGTCTTCTGTTCTTACATGGATGTGTCACTGAATATCATGGTCAAGAGGATAAAACTCCTCCACCATATTCATGAGGTCCTGGTTTAGAATTTTGGGCCAGTGACCGACTATTCTCAATGAGGATTTTCCTAGGTCGCTAAAGATGGATTTTGACATCGTGAACCTCAAATTAGGCCCATGGTTGCCTCCTTCCACATTCTTTCCAATTTATTATTCTTCAGTCGTATTATCTGACACTATATATAGTTTGGAATACTGAACTTGATATCAAAATATGACAGTGAAAACTGAGGTAATATATGTAACCCTTTGCTGCACCATTTAGTTTCAGAGCACTGTGATATTATTGAACCAGATATTTTAAGTGCCTATACAAATGATGCAGTGTGGATATTTAATTTCATTACATTCTTTGTTGGGGGCACACAGTAGTGTAGTTGGTTGGGGCACCATGCTACAACCCGGGAGGTCACAGGTTTGATTTCCAATTGGGTCATTGGATTTTTCAATTGACCTAATCCTTCCAATCTCACTGTGGCCCTGTGGTGGACTCAATCTGTAACAGAAATGAGTACCAGGAATCTTCCTGGAGGTAAAGGGCGGCTGGCATATAAGGCTAAAACAACCTCACTGCCATCTGTGACCCGATTGGCCAGAAAATGTTGGAGCCTAACATCTCACAAACCTATGAGCTTTCATGGCCTGCTACAGGGATATCTGTCACATGTCAAATATCAATTCCATGACCTTGAGATTTTAGGTTCCCATGGTGGTGAGTATTCTGGGATGGGGCGGCATGGAGTTTGGTACATGAACGGACAGGACGGACGAGCGGGACGAACGGATGAGGGGTGGGCCTTTTTGGCCCTTGCACCATGACCACCGTGATCTGTTGTGCTTCCCCTTCTGATTATCCCCTCAACAATCCTGCGCTTCGAATGATTCGTAGGATTTTGTATGTGGGGTCGTCGAAATAGTTACTTGGTTCCATAAAATATTGACCCAAGTGGCGCAATCTTAAATAAGATAAGGCCTCCCATTTGCACAGGATATGTGTAGCTGTTTTGTTTTCTTCTTGACACCTCTCACAAGTTGGACTGTTACTTAGTCCCAATTTGAAGAGGTGTCCTTTGAGGTGACAGTGTCCTGTAAGTAGTCCTACCACCCATCGTAGCTGGTTCCTGTTTAGCTTGAACAGTTCCTTCGCTCTTTTAGTGGAAGGTCCTCGTATGAGTCCCTTTGCTTGCCTGATTCCAGTTAAGGATCCCCAGTATTTCTTATGTTTTATGTTAGTCCAGTCCCTGATTGCCTGTTTGGCAACTCCTATAGAGATGCCACAGGCTGGTTCAGGTCCTATGAACGGATGTTCAGCTCCAATCTTAGCTAATTGGTCTGCTGTTTCCTTTCCAGCAATACCTTCATGCCCTGGTATCCATATCAGTTGTACCGTGTTATATTTGACCAGTTCCATGAGGGTTTGGTGGCAATCCCAGACCAATTTTGAATTGATCTGGTGTTTGTCAAGCACTTTAAGTACGGCTTGGCTGTCAGATAGAATGTAGATGTTCCTATTTCTATAGTTCCTATCTAAATTCTCCATAATACATGCCTTAATGGCATATACTTCTGCCTAGAATACTGTTGTGTATTGCCCAAGGCTGAAACTAAGTTTCCGCCTCATGCCATGGCAGAACACACCAGCACCAGTGCCTTTATTTATCTTGGAACCATCTGTATACCAGATCAGTCCCCCTTTTCTATGGGGCCGAAACCCGTCTTCCCATTCACTCCTGTCAGGAAATCTGACTGTGAAGGGTTTTTCATATACATGTCTCAGTATCATTTTGTCAGACCCCATTTGTAATATGGGTTCTTTTTTCATGTCCTGAGTTATGTATGCATGTCCGAAACTATCAGATCTAGGTTTCCATTGTTCATTGCACTGGAGATGGTAGATTCCTGCCCTGGCCTCTGCCTCCAACTGTAGATGCAGTGGGGGGAGTCCAAGGAGTATCTCCAGTTCAGCTGTTGGAGATGTTCGAATTGCTCCTGTGATACCCAAGCAAGCCAACCTTTGCAATTTGCTAAGTTCTGCCTTGCTTGTCTTGAGTTTAACTCTGGGCCACCATACTGTGGCACCGTACGTAATTATGAGTCTTACAACCGCAGTGTATATCCAATGCAAAATGTGCAGCTGCAGTCCCCAAGTTTTACCAAACATGCTTCTGCATGTCCAGAAAGCCTTATAGGCTTTATTGATGACCTTGTCCAACTGCTTTTTACATGTCAGTCCTGTGTCTAATACTAGACCAAGGTACTTGACATCGCTGGAGAGCTGGATCATCTTATGGAAGATGGTCGGTTCCTTAAGGCCCTTTATATTTCTCTTCCTGGTAAACGGTATAATTACCGTCTTATTGGGCTTGATTGAAAGGCTTGTTCTTTCACACCATCATTGGACCGTGTACAGAGCTGTTTGAAGACGCTCTGATACTGTCAAAAGGAATTTTCCGTTTATGAGGATTGCTATGTCATCATATAATACCCATCATCATTAAGTCCCCACAGGAGATCGTCAGTGACCAGGCTCCACAGCAGAGGTGAGAGATGCGGATGCCCCCAGGGTCTCTCCTGATAGTGTGGCAGCTATGGTTCTGCTTTCAAGCATAGCACTGATCCACCTGCATATTTCAGGCTCAGTGCCATGCTTTCCAGCAGCCTGTTTGATTATAGTATTGTCACGTGTTTCTGGTTACCGAAGACGCCGTGGAGATGGTTAATTGGTTTATTTAACAATCAACAAATAACGGCTACAATTACTTATTTCACAATTGCGGGGTTTCACACTTTATAACCCTAATCGCATTGATCTGTTAACACTGTTGCGGGGTTTCACGATTTATAACCCTATGCTCAAATCAGTTCACTCCGTCTTCAGTAGTCTACACGTATACAGTAGGGAAGCTGTGTATCACTGTATCACACACACTCCCAATTACACAATTACACACACGTCCGGTTCTTCTTTCCGCGACGGTTGTTATACTCCACTATAGTCGGCTGACTGGAGAACTGTTGATAACACACTCGCTCGTTGACTACTTAACTCAGCGATGTCCATATTATAACTGACTCCTAGCTGCTGTGCAGTTCCTTATATAGCTGCAGTGCTTGCCGGTTGCGTAATGAGTGCCACGTCACAGTAGGAAGTTGATTACGGGTACGTACCGTTGCGCATTACGTCACCGCGGAGGGGAGTGGCGGGGCGGGAACTCGCCTATTACCGTAGTAACGCGAGCGTTACGTTACCGCCACGTACCGCTGGGGAGGTAGGGGTGATCCATACCTCAACATGTCACAGTATCAGATGTTCTATTGAAAGCTCCCTCTATGTCAAGGAGTGCTCCTAAGGCAATATCCTTGTGTTCAATCGCACTTTCTGTGCATGTTACCACATCATGTAGTGCGCTTTTGGTAGATTTACCTGTTTGGTAGGTATGCTGGTTTCGGTGTAGAGGATATGTCCCTGATATGCCTCTCCATTATTTTCTCCATCGTTTTCAAAAGGAAAGACGACAGGCTGATAGTGCGATAAGCCTTAGCCTCGGTGTAATCCAGTTTCCTGGGCTTTGGGATGAACGTCACCTTAACTTGCCTCCAGGTCATGGGAATAAAACCATATGCCACGCAGGCTCTGTATATGCTGCATAGGTGTGGAACTAAGAGTTCTGCCCCATGCTGCAAAAATGCCGTTACGATTCCATCTGTTCCCGCTGACTTAAATGGTCTAAATGTATTCAGTGCCCATCTGATTTTTGATTGGCTAATTATGACTTTGGCCAGGTTCCAGTCTATCCTGTTCATCTTGCTTTGGCAAGTTCCCAGGTTTTGCTGACCCTGTCTGTCATTAATATTATCAGTAAATTTTGAATCAGGAAAGTGAACCCTTAATAATTCGTTCAGTGTCTCCCTTCCTGTTTGAGTATACTGCCGGTTAGGCAGCTTAATCGTGCTGACCTTGTTGGTCGCCTGTTTTGCTATGATTCTCATGAGTGTGGCACCGCCTGGTACATCATTGATCTCCTGGCAGTGCCTCCTCCATGAGGATCACTTGGCTTTCCGTATTTCTTTGTTGTAACAGGTAAGGGCTTCCTTGTAGGTGTCCCACTGCCCTGTTCTTTTAGCTGTATTAAACAGCCTTCTCGTTTTGGTTCTAAGCCCACTCAGCTTAGGTACATAGGTGCTAATGTTTTGGAGAGTCGTGCTGGTTCCATCCTCAAGTAGAACAGACCTGAAGATTGAGGCAGTAGGCTATTTTGAAACATTTAAACATGTTTCCCAAGCTACATGGTGTTGTATCCAACAAGCCTGTTATGTAAATCCCCCCCGGAGGCTTGATGGCAACATTCAGATGGCAGTGGCATTTTCAGTCATTATAATAAAGATGTTCAGCTCTTTTTTAGGCCATGCTATAGTTCTGGCAGTTATTTGTTGGCTTCTCATGTCAGAGATCAGGTTCAGTGCCAGGTTAGTACATATGAAATTTGTGGTGGACAGAGCGGTACTGGTGGGAGGATCCCCCACACCAAAGCACTTCAGGTTTACCTGCCAATGCTCCATACTCATCTTTCGTCAGGGATTGGTAAAATAGACTCATTTGAGTGTGCAATACCAAGGGACTGTCCCATCCCACACCTGAAACAGCAGCAGCAGCAGTGGTAGTTGATGATGATAAGCTGCTTTCAAAGGGAAAGAAGAAGTGAAAATATCATATTTGATTATGTTAAGGATGTATGTAGAGATGTAATGGAGTTGATTGATCTGTCACCAGGTGTTTGTTATTTTGTTTACAAACTAAAATGAGAATGAGGGGGGGTTAATTATTATGTCTTGTGTTTTTGAAAATAGATCTGTGGGATGTCGTTGTATGAAGAGACAACCACTAGTTGAACTGTCCTATAGGCTTTATNGTTTTATTGTGCTGTAGATGATAAGGGTTAGCTTAGAAATATTTGTAAAACTAGTATACGAGTATGTTATTTCTTCACCATAGCAATTTTCTGCAAATTATATGACTTACATATATGTGATTATTTATCTGTAAACAGCAACCACATCAGCGACCTTTGACACGGTATCTTCCAATCAGAAGTGAGAGTTTGAATCTTCGACACCATATAGAGTCAGCTGGTCACCAGATAGAGCTGTGTCCACACGTGAGTTTAGACTCCACATCATGTCGAGGATATCTGCACAAGATGGGCTCGAAGTTTCACCACTGGAACAAACGGTTGTTTGTGTTTGACAGAATACGAAGAACCCTGACATACTACAGTGACCGAGGTGAGAAGAAACCTCGTGGTGGAGCATATTTCCAGGTAAATTGACAGAATAGAGGTAGTTATACCAGGGCCTCAGAAAGATGTTCATTCCATGGATGTTGGGGATGATGAGACTTGAGACTTGCAACTCTCTGGCTGCTGTTATATTCCTCTCCAGTCCAGAGCGCTTTCTGCTGGCAAAGGTTTTCAGTACCAACATCTGTGTGCACTGAATGGCCAACCATGTGGATGGGGCACTGTGAGCATTTGTGTGAACAAAATGGCTAAATGCCTGGAGGGGAGAAGCAGGACAGCTCAAGGGAGATGTAGATGCAATGTTGCAAAATTTAAATAAATTAAAGGTGCATCCATAAAGAAATTATTAACACATTAAATTCATGGAATTGATGCTGTCATTCAGTTCAGGATGTTTGATTTTCCTGCCTCCTGTCTGAAAACCTAAAGATTGAATTACACAAAATATGGTCTGTGATCACAAGGCAGTGGTAAACTACATGTTATCACCAATTATAAACACAAAATACAGACAGTTTTTAATTTTAAACAAGATTCTTTTATTCCATGCACAGAAAAGTTTTCAGGATGTTTTCTAAGCGATTTCAGCATGTGTTTGGCACTACTCGTGTGTGGCTTCCTGTACCCCAAGTTCAGAAAGGAATAATGCACACAGATGTTTAAGAACAGAGTAATGAGGAAGGTGTTTACTATGTAATGAGCAGTGACTGTTATACAGAGATATGGAATGAGAAAGTACTGCAGACATTTTGTTATTTTGTATAAACTGTGTGCTTTTCCTCTACAGTCCATTGAAGAAGTGTATGTGGACCACCTGAACTCTGTGAAATCTCCAAGTCCTCAGTTAACATTTGTAGTGAAGACAAATGAGAGGGCATACCATCTGATGGCTCCGAGTGCAGAAGCCATGAGAATCTGGGTGGATGTAATTTTCACTGGTGCTGAAGGATATCAGGAGTTTGAACATGGTTCATAGACTTGGTGAAACTGGAGTTTGGAATTTCAAAATTCACAAGCACTGGATTAAATGAGTAATTGTGGCCAGCAGTCAGCCTTTTCAGTGAAGAATAAATCAAGATCATGTCGTCGAGGGTTTGAGATGATTATTATGCAATGACAGTGTATGCAAGTTATGCAGATATTTTGAGAGTTATAATCCTGAGCATTCGGAATAAAGTTCAAAATTTAACTTCATCCCCATGCTATTGAATGTAAAGTGTTCTGGTCAAGTCATATGTGACCTGACTTTTTCGTCCATTTTCTTCTGAACAGGATCTTTGGTAATGAAAGTGATGTGGTAAGAGATGAATGTTATTTGCTTTCGGACCAGTAAATTTGATCTGCTAGTGCTCAAAGTGTAATTGACCATCATGATACCAATTGGCGATTGGGAATATGAATAAAATAATTTGTGTGGAATGATGGAGTGCCATACAAACATATATTTTTTTATAAGTCACGTGGTTTCGTATTGGTTTATATAAATTTGATTACTATTAAAACAGAAATTATATTTCCAAAAATATGATAAGTGGTGTAGTTAGGAAGAAGGCTTCCAATTGATATGGTATTTTTCATTCATTAGAAACAATCGAAACTAAAAATATTTCAGAAAGGTTATGGAATTTTGAGAGAGAAACGTTTATCATCACATTGATGTTTTTATTGGAGCTTGAGAATAGTAATCTGATGCTGTTTCAGCACACACAATCTCTCCATTTGTGTTATGTGGCTCAATTTGATTGCTATATCTGTAAAATGAATGCAGTTATAAATTTGAAGCAATCTGCAAAATGTCTTAAAAGCCTCATCTTTAGGGTTGTATGAGAAAAACTGCAGTGGTATTTTGTTTGTTGTATTGTTGTGCAGATGTCCATTGTTATTTTAGGAGGAGAGGTTTATGTACATTCTGAATGAATATAAG